ATTTTTCTTTCTTTTTTGTCTTATTTCTCTTATTGTCATAGGAAGATATTTATGCGATATCTAAAGTTCTGGTATTGGTGGGGGAAGCTGATATTTATAATTTATCATGAATCTCAAGATTTCTCTTTCTTCAGGCAAAGGCTTTGCCTTACTATTTTAATCCTGAACTTGGAGTAGCCTGGGAAACGTGAGAATAAGAGGAGATCACTGTGTCTACTCTCTCTGACTCCAAAGTCAGCATATAGTTAACTCTATAAGTGTTGCTTTCCAAGTGATGATTTTTGAGGAATATAGGATTGTAAATGCCTAAAACACCATCCCTTCCATTCTGACAGTTTGGAACACAGCACCACAGCATGGTTAAGAGCAACTGTGGACTTCACTGTCAGTGGATGCTTGAGTTTGAATCCTAAGGTTGTCAGGTGCCAGGTGTAACCTGGAAAAGTTACTGAACTCCTTTTGGCTTGGCTGCTTTTTTTGTTATTGTTGTTTTGTTTTGTACTAAAGATTGAACTCAGGGTCACTTCGTCTCTGAGCTACATTCCCATAACCCTTTTTATTTTTTTGTTTTGAGAAAGGATCTCGCTAAGTTGATAAGGGTCTTGCTAAATTGCTGAGGCTGGCCTCAAAATCACAATCCTCCTGCTTCAGTCTCCTGAGTCACTGGGCTTATAAGCATGTGTCAACATACCTGGAAGGGCTTAAGTTTCTTTATGTATGAAGTGAAAATAATGAAATCTATTTCATCCAGTTGTTCAGTGGATTAATAGGAGAAGCAGGTCTAGGAAGAATGGCTAGTAACATATCAGAGGCCTACTAAATGTATCTCTTTTTATCCCCTTTGGCTTTCCTGACTTCCTAGACCTTGGAGCCTTTCTGGAGGTCTTTTGAGGCATTCTCAATTCATTAATTATCTTATCTGATTAATTTGCTTTCATAGATGAGGTGACAATTGCTAGTTGTTGTCTGTAAACTGCTGATTGGGGAGCATGTGCTCCTTTTGTAGAAGTTACCCCATGTTTTTTCATCTCTGCTTACTGAAGTAACCTTCTTCTTTTCCTTTACAGATATATGTAATTGACAGTGCAGACAGAAAAAGATTTGAAGAGACGGGTCAGGTAAATAATTCTTCTGTTGAGATATTTCCCAAATAACTGGGTATTCATTAATCCACTTTGTAAATGTGGGAGAGTGAGGGAGTTATTTTTTGTTTAACCTTTATAATTCAAACAAGACAGTCATTCTGGCAAGCAGGCAGAAATATCAGCTGTCTAAAAAGAAATTCATTAAGAGTCCTTTAAACAATTTTTTTAAATTTAAGCCTTTGAGCTTTAATCAAATTGAATATACAAGATATAAACAAATGGAACTTAGCACCATGCCCAAAAGGTCTTCTAGTTTCTTCCCAGGCCATGTGGAAATGAACCCAGAGGAGCAATGCACTCAGCATTTCTGTTTTTTTTTTTTTTTTTTTTTGTGGTGCTGGGGATTGAACCCAGGGCCTTGTGCATGTGAGGCAAGCACTCTACCAACTGAGTTCTTTCCCCAGCCCTTCTGTTTACATTTTTTAATACCTACCAGGGATAACTCAAAAATACAAAAGGATGGAAGGAAACATACAAGCCAAAATTAAGCTGCTTTTGTTTTCAAGCTAGGAGATAAGATAAACTTCGAACCCAAATATGGCTTCACATATAGCTTACATGTCACATGATTACATGATGTGATTTGTGAACATGGTTTTACATAAAAAGAAAAGAACATAGATCATTTATTCAAAGTGGATTCACTGACCAAAGAAGCAAGGGGTGGAGTGGACCTCTTGGGAGATGTGTGCTTAGATATTGCTGTCTTTGGCCTGTGTTCTAAACTATGACAGGTGGACTTCCAAAGGCAGTGG